TTCCAAGTAGCTGGAACTACAGGCGCGCACTACCACACCCAGCTAATTTTTTTTTTTTTGATTTATTGTAGAGATGAGGTCTCGCCAAGTTGCCCAGGCGAGTCTCGAACCCGCGGGCTCAGGCAATCTACTCACCTCAGCCTCCCAAAGGCGCGGGATTACAGGCTGAGCCAATGTGAGCCACTGGCTTACATTGCATTCTTACCACTATCAATACACGGGCCTGTCCCATTCTCCATCTGAAAAGTTACAAAATAACCCAACACTTTCAGGGCTTTTTAGGTGGAAAGAAAGAGTCCTGCTGTCAAGACATTAATTTGAACATGGTTCACCAACCTGCACAAATGTGTTTCATGTCGGAGGTGACTTAGAATGCTTAGTTTCATTTCTAGGCCATATTCAATTCAGTGAATATTTACCTAATGAATATCCAGAGGAGAATTCTTTCTTTTTTTTTTTTTTTTTTGAGTCAGAGTCTCACTCTTGTCGCCCAGGCTAGAGTGCAGTGGTACGCTCATGGCCACCACAGCCTCGACCTGCTGGGCTTAGGTGATCCTTCTGTCTTAGTCTTCTAAGTAGCTGGAACTACAGACGCATGCCACCATGACCAGCTAAATTTTTTTGTGATTTATTGTAGAGACAAGGTCTCACCAAGTTGCCCAGGCTGGCCTCAAGCCTCCAGGCTCAGGCGATCCTCTTGCATCGGCCTCCCAATGTGCTGGGATTACAGGCTGAGCCACCGCGCCTGGCCAGAATTCTTTTTTCTTGAGTTGGAGTCTCACTCTGTTGCCCAGACAGGAGTGCAGTGGCATATTCATGGCCACCACAGCCTCAACCTGCTGGGCTCAAGCGATCCTTCTACTTCAGCCTTCAGAGTAGCTGGAACCACAGGCATGTGCCGCCATGCCCCAGCTAATTTTTTGATTTAATGTAGAGATGAGGTCTTGACATGTTGCCCAGGCTGGTCTTGAACCCGTGTGCTCAGGCAATTCTCTTGCCTCCACTTCCCAAAGTACTGGGATTACAGGAGTGAGCCACTGTACCCGGCTAAGTCTTTTTTCATTTACCTTGTGTGTATTTGTTTTTTTTTTTGTATTGGGGTCTTGCTCTCAGGCTGGGGTACAGTGGAACAATCATGGCTCACTGCCTCAAACTCTTGGGCTGAAGCGATTCTTCTGCCTTAGCTTCCTGAGTAGCTAGGACTACAGGCATGCACATTGTACCCAGCTAATTTTTTGTAGAGATAAGGTCTTGCTATGTTGCCCAGGTTGGTTTCAAATTCCTGGCTTCAAGTGATCCTCCTGCCTCGGCCTCCCAAAGTGCTGGGATTACTGGCTTAAGCCATTGTGTCCAGCCTGTCATTTACCTTATAATGTGTGTTATTTCTAGTCTCCTTAATTGGACTGTGAAATCTGAAGGCTGGGAGACTCGGATCTAATACAGTTTTGAATGTCCAGAATGACATCAGGACAGTGGCTGGCATACAGGAGGCATTAAAAAAAATTGCTGAATGAATATTTACTGGTTTGTTTATCTGCTAAATTAGGTTCTGATTTATATTATATGAAGACAACAAATATGTCTACAGTTGACAGGAAAGAGAAGCTCAACAGGAACTCCAGGAGAACAGATCAGTAGGCCATGCCCAGCCAAGGGCAGGAGGTCACCAAGCCCATAACTTCCCCAGGGAGTAGAGATATGATGTCAGCAAGCTGTAAGGGAAGCCCGGTGCTGTCAGCGAGACTTCCTGACCTCTGGCAATACAAGATTGCAGTTTGGCAGGAAGGGTGTGTGCTCACTATAGTCAAGAGCTGACAAAACATGGGAAACAGTAGCCTTGCTTCACAGCCTGAAATGTAACCATCTCCAGCCCCTTGATGGGCTATCTCAGACTATGACCTTAAGTTTTGCTCAGGGATTAACTAATGGGAATAGGGAAGGCTGCATCTTTTTCCTGCCACAGTTATAAGACCTCCCAAAATGCCCTCTCCAAGCATTGCTCCAAGGACAAGTGATGTCCTAGAGCGCTGCTACTTGCAAACATAAGCCCAAGAAGGAACATCCAAAGTCCAGAGGAGAGTAGTGACTCTGAGAGGACTGCCCATAGGGAAAGACAATCTACCCCTGCTCCAGCCTGCTGGTCGTACCTAGAGCCTTCACAGATATCTGCCGGGTGAGAGGAGGGGGGATGTTGATGCACACCAGATCCACATCTTGATGGAGCAAGACGTCATCAGTCCGGCTGGTGTAGAAGGTGATGTTCATCTCCTCAGCAAGCTGCTTCGCCTCCTCCTCAGTCTTTCCCCACAGGGCCTCGACGGTGAACCCTTCTGCCCTCAGCAGCGGGACCAGAACCCGAGCAGAGCTGCCAGTCCCAAACACACCCACTCCTGGCAGCATCTTCATCCCGGCCTCTGTTCACCAACTCATCTCCTCACAAGAGCCTCCAGCATGGATATGACCTTCACACAGTCCTGGTCAAACATGGCTCCTAGAACAGTAAGCATTATACTGGTTATTAGTGGATGGCAAACTCAGCTGAGGCTACTTTCTTGGTTTACTGAGCTCAGGCAATCCTTCCACCTCAGCCTTCCTAGAGTGCTGCTACTGCTGGAACTACAAGCACACACCAACACGCCTGGCTAATTTTTTTGATTTATTGTGGAGATGAGATCTTGCCAAGTTACCGAAGTTGGTCTCAAACCCCTGGACTCAGGCAATCCTTTTGCCTTGGCCTCTCAAAGTGCTGAGATTACAGGCTTGAGCCACTACACCCGGTCATGGCTGATCTTTAAAGTTCCTTCTTGCTGTAAAAGTTCACGATTCCATGATATTATACAACAAAGAAGAGTGGAAAACAAAAGCCAGTACAAGAGGAAAGAGAAAGAACTATCTAGTTGCTAAACAGATTAAATATAATATAAAATGTATGGTAGCATGTATAGGAAAATGTTCACCAGAAAAGAAAAATACCAAAAAGAGTTTTTTCAACAAACTGGCCAAAAGAAAAAGTATGCTTAAAAAGATTTTTTTGTATAAAGATATTCACTAGCAATATCTGGGGGGGGGGGAAATATATATATATATACACATATTTTCTTTTAGAGAGACAAGATCTTTTGCTCTGTCCCCCAGGCTGGAGTGCAGAGACACAGTCATGGTTCTTTGAAGGCGAACATGCCTATAATCCCAGCACTTTTGGAGACTGAAACAAGAGGACTGCTTGAGCCCAGAAGTTTGAGACCAGCCTGGTTTGAGACCAGCCAGTCTCTACAAAAAAAATTGTTAAAACTTACCCAGGTGTGATGATGCACACCTGTAGTTCCAGCTACTTGGGAGGCTGAGGTAGAATGATCGCCTGAGCCCAGGAGGTCAAGATTGAGGTTAGCTATGATCATGGCACTGCACTTCAGACTGAGTGATACAGTGAGACTCCAATTAAAAACAAAAAAACAGGCCGGGTTCGGTGGCTCAGCCTGTAATCCCAGCACTTTGGGAGGCCAAGGTGAGTGGATTGCCTGAGCCCGCGGGTTCATGACCGACCTGGGCAACTTGGCAAGACCTCATGTCTACAATAAATAAAAAAAAATTAGCCGGGTGTGGTAGCACGCGCCTGCAGTTCCAGCTACTTGGAAGGCTGAGGTGGAAGGATCGTTGGAGCCCAGCAGGTCGAGGCTGCGGTGGCCGGAAGCGGCCACTGCACTCCAGTCTGGGTGACAGAGTGAGACTCTAACTCAGAAAAAAAAAAAACCAAAAAACCAAAAAAACAAAAGCAACCTGAGTAAATCATTATCAGGGTATATTCTGGTCCTTTTACTATTGTGTAGAGATATGTTTACATGGAAGTATTGGGTCTGGTGCAGTATCTCACGCCTGTAATTCCAGCACTTTGGGAGGCAGAGGCAAGAGGACTATCTGAGTCCTGGAGTTTAAGACCAGCCTGGGCAACTTAGCAAGACTGTCTCTACAATAAATCAAAACATTAAGGTGGGCACACCCTTATTTATTTATTTATTTTATTTTATTTATTTTTTTGAGTTGGAGTCTCACTCTGTCACCCAGACTGGAGTGCAGTGGCCGCTTCTGGCCACCGCAGCCTTGCCTGTTGGGCTCCGGCGATCCTTCCGCCTCAGCCTTCCAAGTAGCCGGAATTACAGGCACGCGCTACCACGCCCGGCTAATTTTTTGATTTATTGTAGAGATGAGGTCTCGC